TTTCACTTAAGTAGAAATATTTATTATTTGCGCTTATTATGTTTGATTATTTAATGTAAAATTCGATTTTCCCAACAAATAACGGTGATGTGCTATGAAAAGTCTCCGTATGAGTGAAAAATTCTCGAGAGGGACGTTAAACAACATACAAACAAATAAAGTAAACGCGTATAAGAAATAAGCCTGGGTGAAAATAAACAGGTACTCTTACTGAATTTTCAAAACATAAATACATTTGTTGAGTGTACACACAGACATTTGGGTTTTTTTCTATATGAAAATATCAATAATCAAATCAAAGGATCCTCTTTAATATATGTTCCAAAAGTTTCTGAATTGGTCTATTTTAACTTACCATTCGATTGTGACACGATTGCGGTCTTTTTCTTTGAAGTTTGCTGTTCTGTATTAGCAATACAGAACGGGAAAACAGTGGGCGGAGATACTTTCCGTTCTGGATTAGCCCTGTATACTGTCTTGTATTAGTCTACTGTACTGTATCTAAAATACAGCACGGTCTAAAAATAAATCTGATTCAATTTATCAAAAGCACGTACAAATAGTAAATGCTGATTTTTCCCAATTATAAATTTTGAAGAAATATTTCCTTAGGAATGTAAAATGTCAGAATTTCTTAATCACTTTTAAAAAATTATTCCACTCAGAATCTACACGTCAATTCGATCCAAACGAAAAGGAAAATTCGCAATTATGAAAACATCCTATGTTGGATAAATTCCTGAAAACCTGTTTGCTTTCCCTGCTTTTTGTGCCCCCTTCAAAATAGTAAAGCCAATGGGTTCGCGGATGCAGCATACATTACGTGAAATTCGCACTCCCCCTCCCCCCATTTTCCACTCTTCTCGTGCAAACTCAACCAAGTCCATTCTATCAGGGTTTTTTTTTTTTTTAAATTTCATCTTAAATCCTTATTGCTGACGACTGCCGCGCATCTCTTTCACTTCGTTTTTAATGTTGCATTTCAAAAAGAAAATAAAATCCGTAACATCAAAGTCCATCGAAAAACTGTCTGTATCGCCTATATGTGTATCTAGTTAAACTAAGATTTTAAGACCCTTAAAATAAATTAGGATCAAGCTCTATCTACAACAAGGTTAAATCGTCCACCTTATCAATTAAGACTGACTTCAAGTCTGTCACATCTACCCCGTTGTAAAAACTAATCTGACTAAATCTTTCGTCGTCCGTGGAAATATATATACTGCGGTAGCTGCAATAATGTAGCCCTCTCCGATTTTTTTAATCTGATATTTTCAGGAGAGGGCTACAATTCCACTGCATCTCCGTAATGGTGCAAATATATTTTTTAGATACGGGCGACTGCAGGCAAAATAAATTGTTTTTGCATTCAACTTACTTCCAATAAGACGGAATTTTTATTCACTATCAACATCATAGCCCTTTATACGCGAAAACCAAGTAAAATAAATCTGCGTGTTTTCCGGTCGTTCACCTCAGCAGCCATGACAGTTCTCGCGTGATGTACTGAGACTTGCGCTTGAAATTTAGAATTGCTTGATAATGTAAATGTCGGTGTTGATAAATGTTTGTGTAGTATGATATAACTAAACATCGATAAATAAAAGCATTCCACGTGATTTTTTTTATCATAAACAGTGATATTTATGCTTATAATAAGGGAATTCCATACAGATCCGCTCCCCTAGATCCCAAATTCTCATTGGTTGTCCCAAAATAAAATCGATCAAGGTCAGTAAACATGGCGGATAAATTCAAGTTGTGATGTTGACATACACGAAAAATAACCGATATACGGATTGTTCTGTATATTTTTGGATCAATTCATGTCCTGCATAACTACATTTTATGAGTTCAGGTAAGATATGTTAATAAAATACCCACTTACTGATAATTTGAGCTGAAATCTGTGCGGTAGTGAATCACTCCCGCACTTGCACCATTACGGAGATCCTAAGGAGTTGTAGCCCTCTCCCAAAAAAAAAAAAAAAAAAAAAAAAAAAAAAAATTGGAGAGGGCTACATTATTGCAGCTAATACTGCGGATGTATACTACACGTCGAGGTCTCATCTACAGAGAGAACAAAATAGTCATGTTGCAGATTTTATTTGACAAAATGAAATATGTCAGAAAGGATAGAACACTGGCAGAAGTTTGGATGCTGTACAGGTATACAGTGGGCGGTGCTTTTTTTTGATTGATCGTGTCACAAATCATTTAGAGAACTCGACAGGTTCTGTATCGTAGATACAAATTTGGGGGTGGAGACTCGTGCTACGCACTCGTCCACCCCAAATTTGTATCTACGATTAATACAGTACCTGTCTCGTTCTCTAAATAATACATAAAACAAGTCGAATTTCAGTGTATAATTTATTTATATAAAAATATACATGGCCTCAAACAATATTGCGCTTAGGTCAGAACAAAACCATAAAACATCAACCCAAGGGAAAAAAGAACAAAAGAAAACTTCCATTGCATCCAATAAACAAATAAGGAAATGTATGTGGCCATGTCATATGACAGAGGAAAAAAAGCATGACAATATACAATTCCTTAAGCTTTATATTGAAAATAAACAGGCATACCCGGTACACATGTACATAACAAGTTGTGATAGTGCACTATACATGTAGAAGTTTTTTTCCACGGGGTTTAAATTCCGCGTGATCGCAATTTCTGTTCAATCTGGGGGTAGAAAATTATGCATATTTCTTGAACTGCCTTTGTTTGTCTTACATTGTAAATGCACTTTTAGTACATACAGAATTTTTTTTTGACATCGTACATTGCTTAAATTAACTCCAAGTCAAAAATGTATTCTACATGTTGTATATTTGTTAAGCAACAGACAATGGAATAATTAAACAGATTGGTCGTATTTGTATAACATAGACACAAAATCAAATAAATAAATAAATATAAATAATAAAAAATTGCAGATTTCACAGGTATGATGAACCCTGAATTTCTTTAAATGATTTATATCTAACAAGATTATGCATCACATACACAGTATAATAAATTATTCTCTCTTCACTTCTGTTTTGGAAGTGTACACCAGAATTAAAAGTACATTATGTTTAACTCGGATTATGACCCAGTGTATTTCATATCGGTATGTTTCAGTGAGCTCACCTATGCTCTGTGTCAAAAATTCCTGTATGAAATGTATCTATTTACTATCACTTTCTTTTAGTTTTTGAAAAACACATATCTGATGTTCAATTTTTTTCTTTTCTGATTGTAATTCATGAACAAATCTACTGCAGAACTCAGTAAAAGACATATATGAACAAGGGACAATAGTTCCTATACAAATATGCAGCTGTAAACTGTACAATTTTAATATGAATATGATATCAATTTAAACAAATATCACTATGAAAAGTGTATTATTCTAATACTGAAACATCTTGAAATAAGACCCTTGTCTATAAACACTATATTTTAAACATCTAAGTTAAATGTATACATAAATATACTCTTCCAGTTGTAAACTATTATGATTTAAAAAAAAAGAAAAAAAAAGACGTTTTCGGTTCAAATCAATGTACTATGATCTCATAAATTTATTTTCGTGGGGATGAAATCTTGTGGTTCTAAAAAATGTTGATATGTAGGTTTGTGGACATATATCTCGTCCTATTGTGCATTTGTTAAATTTCTACTCTGTTGATCACCTACGAGTATATAATTTTGTGGATTGGCTCAATCTTGAATGCAATTTTCGGTGTTCAATGAATAATTGTGAATCCAGTGTATACTTTTACATGATTAATTAGCAATGAGGTTCTATTTAAAAAAAATGAACAATGATTAATCCAAACTGAGGAGGATATTATAGAATTTTTAAACCTCCAGAGGCTGGGTGGTTTGGGTCATTTTTAGACTATTTACACCTCTTGGAAAAGAAAAGTTTTGTATAAAAAATAAACGAAATTGCATTAAATATTATAGCAAGAACTCTTTCTTTTGTTTTGTTTTTCTTTACTAAATAATAGTTTATGGCTAGAAAAATCATTTGAAATATATTTTTAGGTGGATTGTTGGGTAATATTGACCACCCTGACTCCTTAAGATCTCTTTAAACATTTTTGAGTCGCCCGCGTGGCGCAGTGGTTAGAGCGTTTGCTCTAGAGTCGCGAAGTAAGGAGTTGATCCTTACGTCGCGGGTTCGAATCCCACTGTGGGACGTGGAGACCGGTCCTTCGGATGAGACCGTATAAACCGAGGTCCCGTGTCTCAGTAGGTGTTGGCACGAAAAAAATCCCTCACTGCTCAATGGCCGTAAGTGCCGAGCATAGGACAAAATTTGCAGCTCTCCACCGGCAAGTGGTGGCGTCTCCATATGAGTGAAAAATTCTCGAGAGGGACGTTAAACAACATACAAACAAACAAAAAATAAACATTTTTGAGCAAAAGCTACCTCAAATTCAATTAAATCGAACATAAAACACAAACAGAAAAAATGATAATATCATAACATACCATTGCTAACAGTCAATCATTCCAGACTGATGAACAGTTTTAAAAAAATGCGAACATACAAAGAAGAATTTAAGGTAGACATTTTTTTCAGCACCATTATTAGTAAAGGAGTGTGACTATAAACTCTGAAACTCTTTTAGCATTACATAAATTCTGTGACACGTATTTTCTTCTATGTTACTATATTATATAAACACTAATCTGTATTACATGTACATATTGCACAAATTGGGGTGTACGCATTTACAAAGTGACATTGATATACTTACATGTACCAGAAAAATAATTTTTTTTACCCCCCAAAAGTAGTAATTAATATGAACACCCGTGACAGCATCATCAATACGTATAAAATCAAAAATTAGTCATATAAAAACCTGATCAGCAGTCATTATATAAATTGTTATAAAAATCACAAAAGCTATGGAATTCTGGGGAAAATAAAATACAATCCAGAATATCACCATAACTTGAACAGGAATGAATTAGGTTACAATAGTTTAAAATTGTTTTACAAGAGCTCTTCCAATAATGTTATTAGGTTTTTAATACCAAAGCGAATCCCTGCCTTGGTAGAAAGATCTTGCTTATTACAGCTTGATGTCTCTATCGCATTGGCGAAGTCGATCAGTCGAATATCGGTATTGCACTGGACGTCTATCGAAGGCACACTCGGAACACCTTTGTCATTGGCAAGAGGAATATCACCTTCATAGAGAATCAAAAGTGAACAGGAAAAAAGCTTGAAGGCACCCTGTGTATCTAAGGCCGCTACCATCTGACGTAATTTGGTTACTATGGACGCTATTACGTCTTTTCTTAATGACAAACCATCATGGAAGAAATTATTCATTTCATCTCTGACGCCATTCTTGTCCAATCCACGTCCAAAATACTTATCATGTGACACATAACTTTTGGTGTCGTTTTTGTAAACCTGCAGTGTACATGTAAATATTTATGAACTATGGTTCAAAGAAACTTTTTGCTTTAACATGTAAAAACTCCAATCGATAAAAATGTACTAATTAAAAAAAAACAACCTTTTTTTTCTCAAATCATGAATGTTGATTTTCTTGATTAAGCGACTATATTTTCAAATTATTTAAGGATTGAATTTAATGGCTTACTAAGTTATACTGCGAAGCGGTTTATAAATAAGCGTAAACTGTTCCAACCCAGGTTATACAGTATAACTTGGGTAGCTATTAAATTATTCCTTATAATTTAATTGGGTAGCTATTAAATTATTCCTTATAATTTAATTTTCCATCATTAAAATTCCTCCTTCAAAAATGCCTTCAAATTGGTCATCTTTTAAAAGTAACGCCAAGCAGATTGATACGTTTTTGACGTAAGTCATTGTGACGTAGGCAACACATATATATTATACGATATAAACTAATTTTCTTATCCAATCAAATGACGCGTTACAACCAAAATTAAATAAATATTAAAACATAACAAGAGGCCCAAGGGCCTTAACGGTCACCTGAGTATAATACAACAATTTAGAAGTTAAATACACTGATAGATGAAGCTTTGTTGCCCTAAAGCAAGAGAAGTAGGAAGATCAGGATCAACAAAATAATTAGTCTAGTATTCAGTATCAACTCATAAATTAAGTTCTAATCTGTCCCCCACTTAACACTATCACCATGCAGACTATTAACAAACTATTAGTGCTTCTGTACTATTTTTAAACCCATATTAAGACCTCTAGCATTGACCTCTCTTACGGTCTCTGAAGAACTTTTAATAAGATAAGTTATTTTTGTCTCATTTTTATTTATCTATTACTTACAGGTCTACCTGATTATTAAAACTAAGAAAATACTTTTTGAATTATATGATAAACACTCTTGCATAACTATCTTATTCTATTAACCTTTCAAATACATTATTTACAGTGATTAATTATCAAAGGTGAACGGAAAAGGGGAATAACTTCTCTCAGTAGAATACAAATTAATAGAGCCCTGCCCAGGACTAGAATGCTTAGACAAATGGTCCAGATGTTCAAAAATCTGGTAGAAATACGCTTACTTATATCATTTAAACTTTTACTCTGTTTTCTTCCGATATGCCCAGAAGCAGAGAAGAATTTCACAGGTACAATGCATTTTCACTACAGATTCAACAAAGCCTTACCCTAACACCAGAACCCAAGGGTCAAGAAATTTACAAATTTGGAAGAGTTACCCTCATCATCATAACTATGGACTTCGAAGTATTAGCACTTTTCCACTATATTATCAAAAGCCCCCCCCCCCCCCCATTATGCCAGAACCCCTGACCCTAGGACCACAAGATTTAAAAATTCGGTTCGAAGCTCCCATTTTCATCATAGCTAAGCAATTTATTTATCAGCTCAACGCTAAGGAGCAGACAGGATTAATTACTGATTAATTAATAAAATTAATGCTTTTTCACTTAAGAAATGAATGTAATATTTTTTTCTTTGACCGAAGTATCAAACAAAAATTTGGACGGAAAACGTGACGTTTTCCGTCCAAATTTTTGTAGCGCATTGATGACGTTTTCCGTCCAAATTTTTGTTTGATACTTCGGTCAAAGAAAAAAATATTACTTTCATTTCTTATCATTTAATTATGATTTTAAAATAATAAAATGAAACTTTCTTTCACTTTAATATTTAATTTAAGTATCGAAGACTGCGTAGGAATACATCACAACAACGTTGCTGAAATTCAAAATGGCTGAATGTACAGATCTATGCGCATTGGATTGATGAAATTTTACGTATAAGCTTTCTATGATACATCGATGAAAGAAAAAATTATAAGATTTATTTCTTATCATTTAATATTTATCTTTCAATGATGAGATTTAACTTGAGAACGATCGAATGACTGTCCAACATACAGGCTAGGCCTAGCTTAGTTGTCTAAATTTTCAGACGCCGAGTATAACTAACAAACAACGTTTTCAAATATTGTCGTGTCATTACTATTATTCTAACAAAAACAGTTTTAACACAAAAACTTACCTGTTGTATTAATTTTTGCTATATCCCAATGTTCATATTCCCCCAGTAAGCTGATATCTTTAGGTTCGTAAATGTAAAGGGAAGCTACTCAAATATAACCTTAACGAGGTTGGATCCTGATATTTAAAGTCTTAAACTTTTTTTGTCAAGTATATTTTTAGTTTCTACACACATAGCTTAATTAAAAATCAAAACAAAAAATGGGGGTCAATATGCTTCTTTTGGCGCTACAGTACATTTAATATGACCTTTTTGCACTGAAATTTGTGTCTTAATCAAAAATCACATCTTCGACGTTTTCCCTCCAAAGTTTTTATCCAAATAAATCATGGGACGAAATAAACTATTGGTCTATTTAAAAAAAGACACATTAAAATTGTGACTAAGAGAAAGTTTCAAATTGCTTCACACAATCAATTATTTGACCTTTCTGCACTTACAAAATGTGATTTTTCTGGCATTAAAAATTTAACAAGCAAGAAAATTATTTTAAAGTCTTAAACTTTTGCTGAAATTAAGCAGATCGATCAAAGTTATCTTATATATTCAGAAAAGAAAAACAAAAACGGGGGTCCATGATCTAAATTTTTAGATATTATTAAAAAAGTGTTAATTTTATGTTAAAATTGGCTCAATTTTTTCCTGGACTTTCAGAATATATTTACTATATTTGTCACAATATATTGAAAGAATTCATATGAAATAATTTAATGGATATTTCAGAACCTGCATAAAACATTTCACTGCAAAAAAACAGCTCTGTTTGCAACCACCATGGAAAAATAGGAATCTGAACTTAACAGTACTGTATATATTTCAAAAGGGAAGAATTGATCATTTTCTTCTAAAAACCTTCCTCCACAAAATATAGTTCCTGGCTTAATCCTACTTGAATGGAATTTAATGGTGGTTTTTTTCATTGGATAAAGTTTGATTTGCATTGTAGAATCCAGATTTAATGGTAGAACTTAAAAATGATGCAGAATTTTAGAAATAAAGTTCCAGACCAAAATCTGCTCAAAAGCTCAGGATCGAACCTCCCTAACAACTCTTTCTAGGTCACAGAAATTTTCGGTTTCATATGCGCATCTCTTCATCTGAATTTCAAATCGAACATATTATATACGTATCACAACATGTCCAGGCATAAAACAACATGCTTCAGAAGAGTCTGTTGCCGACTGTTTAACTTTGAAAGAATATCCGTCCTCGCTCAGCGTCGTTTTTCTCATGCATTCGTTTCCTAAGAATTAACAGACTAACGGCATTTCCCCGCTTTGGTAGCATAAAAACATTTCTTCACAGTTCTATTGTTCATACCAGTTATCTCAAACACAAACATTTAACATACGTATGATGATTTCTTTCCTTTTTTCCCGCAACTGCATTGTTGTCATTTGCAGACGATCTGATTTGTTTAGCAAAGGGGGATAATTCGAAAAGAAACGAAAGTAGAAAATAACTCAGGAACGTAACGGACGAGTTTTGAAATTCAGGAAAATAGAGTTTTCTTTCACAAAGTAATATGGAAGCGGGAAATATACATGTAAAGTCAGCCAAAGTAGTTCCGGCTGCTAAGTGCAGGTGAACTCCAGATTTTATTGATGCAGTTATCAAAAGAATTTTTTATCCAATCAGAATCAATTATTTTATAGAAATTAAATGATTATATAATCAATAGAGCCCCCCCCCCCCTTCCTCAAGAACCCCAAAAACTGAGGCCATATATTTAAAAATTTTGGAGAGAGGCATCCTTGCCTATCATAATCATGCACTTAGTTTGTTTAAATAATCTTCAGTAGCAGAGAAGAAGATTTTCAAAGAATCAATGCATTTTCACTATATAATCAATAGAGCCCCGCCCTAACACCAGAACCCCTGACCCTGGGGCCATGAAATTCACAATTTTTGAAAAGGCATCCTTATGCATCATAACCATGCACTTTGTTTGTTTAAATAATCTCCAGTAGCAGAGAAGAAGATTTTCAAAGAATTAATGCATTTTCACTATATAATCAATAGAGCCCCGTCCTAACACCAGAACCCCTGACCCTGGGACCATGAAATTCATAATTTTTGAAAAGGCATCCTTATGCATCATAACCATGCACTTTGTTTGTTTAAATAATACCAAGGAGCAGAGAAGAAGATTTTCAAAGAATTAATGCATTTTCACTATATAATCAATAGAGCCCCGCCCTAACATCAGAATCCCTGACCCAGTGGCGATGGCTTTCACAATTCTGGAAGAGGCCCACCACCTCATCATAACTATGTACTTAGTTTATCACCTTAATGCCCAGGAGCAGAGGAGAAGATTTTCAGAGAATTAATGCATTTTCACTATATAGTTAATAGAGCCCCGTCCTAACACCAGAACCCCTGACCCTGGGGCCATGAAATTCACAATTTTGGAAGAGGCATTCTTGCTCATCATAACTATGTACTTAGGTACTTTATTTAATACCCAGGAGCAGAGAAGAAGATTTTCAAAGAATTAATGCATTTTCATTATATAATCAATAGAGCCCTGCCCTTACACCAGAACCCCTGACCCTGGGGTCATGAATTTCACATTTTTGGAAGAGGCACTCTTGCTCTTCATAACTATGTACTTAGTTACTTTATTTAATACCCAGGAGCAGAGAAGAAGATTTTCAAAGAAATAATACACTTTCACTTTATGATGTATATAGCCCCACCCTGGGGCCAGAACCCCTGACCCTGGGGTCATGAATTTCACAATTTTGGAAGAGGCATTCTTGCTCATCATAACTATGTACTTAGTTACTTTATTTAATACCCAGGAGCAGAGAAGAAGATTTTCAAAGAATTAATGCATTTTCATTATATAATCAATAGAGCCCCACCCTAACACCAGAACCCCTGACCCTGGGGCCATGAATTTCATAATTTTGGAAGAGGCACTCTTGCTCTTCATAACTATGTACTTAGTTACTTTATTTAATACCCAGGAGCAGAGAAGAAGATTTTCAAAGAAATAATGCACTTTCACTATATGATCTATATAGCCCCACCGTGGGGCCAGAACCCCTGACCCTGGGGCCATGAATTTCACAATTTTGGTAGAGGGCTCAATGCTTGTTACAATGATGCCAACAGTCAATCAATCAATCTTAAAAAAACTCAGTGTATGTTAATTGGTACGGAACAAAGGTTAAGAAATTGTAGGAATCTATCTATTCAAGTGGGCAGTATTGTTATTGAAAATGTATCTTGTGCGAAATTACTTGGTGTTTACATTGACAGGTGTCTTACGTGGTCTGAACATGTTGAAATTTTAGCAAAAAAACTTGCAGGCAAAATAGGTGTTTTATCTAGATTAAGATCATTCATGTCCTCGGAGTTATTGCTGAAAATTTACAATACAATTGTTTTTCCTCATTTTAATTACTGCTGTACTGTTTGGGGCAATATGAAGAACAAAGACGGTCTTAACAAACTGTGTAAACTCCAAAAGCGAGCCGCTAGAGTGATTTTAAATAAAACCTTTTATACACCTACATCAGAAATGTTTCTGCAACTCAAATGGATGCCTCTAAATGACTATTTTATATATAGAACTGTCATTCTTGTTTTTAAAGTTCTGCATGGATTAGTTCCAAATTATTTAGATGTTTTTAAATGTGTATATGAAATAAACAGCAGATCTACTAGATTAAGCAAAAGCAACGCACTGTACATTCCAAGGGCAAAAACAGAATATTATAGAAGATCTTTTACAATTTACGGCTCGCAAATATGGAATGAATTGCCAGAATTTTTAAAGTGTAATCCCTCATTACAAAGTTTTAAATCAGCATATATCAGAAATTATTTTCAGTCTACAAACTAGTAAAATGTACCAAACAACTCATTGATTATGTTCAGTTTTATGGAAGTTTTACATTATATCATGTGTAAATATTATTTTTATTAGACCACGCTTTTTTTTCCTTCATATTCTTTAATATTTATTTGTTTCTGTACATACTCTTGTTGTCTGTATAAACGTTTTCAGGACCACAATGTAAACTAGTTTTCTAAACTAATTGTGCTATCCTGTATAAATAAAGGACATTATTATTATTATTATTAAGGCTTTAATATATATGCTTAAATTGTTTGAATTTTGCAATATTTTGATTTTCTGCAGTCAATTTGTGATTACACAGTCGACATTTTTTCACAGTACAATGAATTCTGATCACCGCCAAGCATTTGTGCACAGAAAATCGGCTTTCCACCTTTATTATTATTATTATTATTTTTTTTTTTACATGTAACAAAGTTTTAGCTATCAAAAATAAGCATGATATGTGTTTTAACGAACCCAAAAAACTAAAAATAGACATCACAAGAAGATACCATAACATTTAACCACCATTTACTACGTGTATTTGCATGTTCTCTTCCATTTTTTCTCTAACATACTTTACAGTTTACTCTCTATGCAGAGGGAAAACCATTAATAAAATTACTTGGTGATATTTGTTTTAAATATTCATTTAGGGATGCCTGTCAATGATGTTCTCGGCAGATATTTTTAATCTAGTGTTGTGTCATGTTGTAAATTTTGAATTTATTTACTGCCACTCGGTACAAATCAACTGTCATGTTGTAAATTTGGAATTTACCGGGTGGCAGTAAATACAAAACGTACAGTAAATTCCAAATTTACAATATGACAGTTAATTTGTACCGGAACTGATTAGCTATTCGGGCCCTATCGTTTTATTCGCAACAGATATTACTTCCTACGTAAAGTTGCAATAAAACTGATTAAAATAAGATAAAGCTAGATTTAAATTTGCATGTTTCAGGACTACTTAAAAAAAACATCTTTAAGTTATATTTAGATTAAAAAAACACACAAGTTATATTTAACAAATGGCACCAACAAATAACAAAAAAATCAGTAAAACCTACTTGGATTCCACACATCCGGAATCCGAGGGAGGCGGAAGTTGAAGACAGCCATCTTTCTTCCAGCATTCTCCTTTTTGCCTCTGATGCTTCCGGTGACCTATGACTGGTTCCCATTTTGAGATCCATGACACAAGGGAAGCGGTAAGGCGCCACCAGGTTCTCCAGCATTATGAATTCTGGTTTTTGTTAAGTTTAACAATCCTTCTGTGCATTCATATATAATTTTGCTAAAACGCAAATGATTAAGGTATCCGACCCATAATAGTCATAGATTCACTGAATCTGAATGCATAATAGATATCTATTGGCTGAATACTCAGTATATGTAGACATAATCTTTTTGTTTTAGTATCAATATGTAACAGCGGAATGTGTCCTAATTTTTTTTTACCTTGTCCTGTCCTTGAAGAGTTATTCCCCTTTGCTTTCAATCAATAAAATCAATTCAAAAACAAATCTGTCTGGTAAAAAATTTAGCTTTCAATCGTTTTTCTTTTCCTAATAATTAAATACATCTTTTCACCACAGCAATTCTTGATATTCTTAGTATTTAAATTTTTATTCTCAAAAATTTGCTTGTCCCCATTGACCTCAATGCAATATTCATTAATTAATTACTGCTTAGGTAATTACATTTTTGAAAATTTCTCTGGGTAAATTCTTTTCTACTCTAAAATGCTTTGAATTAATATCAGAGTATTAAATACAGGATGGATATTTAAGGTTAGAAAATTAGGTCCTAATATGGGTTGGATACCTTAACATTATCATGAAATCATGAAAATGTATACAGTTTCACCATACCTTGATCAGAAAAATTCGGACAGAAAAGACCGGCCTTTTAATTCGACAATTTTATGAAGGCATGATAGACATTTACCCCAGTAAGAGTTTTCTCTCTTTTAAACCTTGAAGAAAGGGAAAACCAAAAGCACATGATAGAATAAAAAGCACAGTGACTTGAGACAATCTTGGCAAAATCGGGTATATACCCGATTTTGCTAAGATTGTCTCAAGTCCCTATGTAAAAAAGCGCACTGATATAATATTATTTAAAATGTCAAACATTCATGATTAGATACGAGCATTACTTAACACGTTTGATTACAACAGATATTCGCACTGGTTTAGATTATCATGTTAACTTTCTCAATTTTTCTTATTAGAATGGACTTTCGCATTGGTTTACATTATTATTTAAATGCCACATATTTTGGATTAAAATAAAGAACATCCATATTCGCACTGACCGATTATTATTCTAAATGCCACACATTTATGTTCAACACATAAATGACTGAATAAAATTCGTATACGAACAAACGAAATGTTTTCACAAAGAACGGGAATCTACACACAAGTCAACACAAACCACCCCTAGGAGATCCGCTCCGTTTCAATAAAGGATACGCTGCGCTTTTCCCTCGCTCCAGTATCCGTACCTGTCAATCTGACGACGAATGCATTGATCACTCCAGGCACGAAGGCTTTCATCAGCTTCACTGTAAACAGATCATAATATAGATTTATTTGTAACATGTATAAGAAGAAAACTAACATAATCAGTCTTTGAAGACAGGTAATTCCATTTTAGACGGAAAGGGGGGGGGGGTTGTTCTTGGACAATTTCACCCTTCGTAGGGTTTATGAAATACGAAACCCGTGTATGTAAGAAAAAAATATAATGATTTCAATATTGGAGCCCTTTAAATCAATTACTGAGATTCAATCTATATTTAAATTGATCGTGCTGTTTTATAATTACCGAAAGTTGAATATCAAAGGACCCCAGAGCGGATTAGAGTTAAACCTACTAAGTTTACGTCATCAAAATTTTAACTCGCCAGCAGTTTTATATAATTCTTTGAATTTATACAATCCACCCCGTTGTGACCTCAATCAATCAATTAAGTGTTAAGTTTTAACTTCTCGAACCCTGACAAAGTTTATATAAGGCAGTGAAAAGAATTGTTTTAAAAAAGATAACGATATAAAAATCTTGACCCCTTTTGTTGTCTCATCCTGCATTCAGAAACAATGGCTTGGACAAATATATGTTTTCTCAATATTTGGCGAATTTTACCTACATTTATTTACTTACGACGCAGTGGTTCTCGTAATTTCTTATTTCCTCTTTGAACATTAAATTACCTTATTTTTCTTACATGTAAATACCTCCCTTTGGAAAACGCCACAATATTCTTCTTTTTTGTTGTTGTTTAACGTCCCTCTCGAGAATTTGTCACTCATATAGAGACGCCACCACTTGCCAGTGGAGGGCTGCAAATTTATACCTAGACTCGGCACTTAGGGCCATTGAGCAGTGAGGAATCTTTTTTGTGCCAACACCCACTGCGACACGGGACCTCGGTTTATACGGTCTCATCCGAAGGACCGGTCTCCACGTCCCGCAGTGGTTTGCGACGTAAGAATCAGCTCCTTACTCCGCGACTCTAGAACAGACGCTTTAACCACTGCGCCACGCGGGCGACTTCCTCACTTTTAAAAATAAATTTATATGTTCCGAGACAAGTTTGGTTGGCTGAATTGGGGTCGAGTGGTTCTGAGAAACAAGTCGAAAGGGGAAAAGAGATTACGCATGGTCGACAAACAGACGGAAACAGACAGCGTGACCCAAAGATCTTCCTGGAAAATGCGAGTTTTTAAAGCCAACCTTCCTCTTGTGAAGTTGGAACATTAAAGAACATCTCTCAGTAGTTTTCAGGTACATTTATATTATTCATGGTGAATAAAATCGATGTCAGAAACTATAAGAGTACATAATGCGAACTACATCGACGATACCTCGAGTATAAGAAAACAGGTTATTAATATATCAATTGATTTTCCCCCTCTCTTTCATCTATCAATATCATCTGTCAATAAACTGCGGCAGACATCTTACACTTGCCATGGCAACATGTGGTTCTAAGTTCTAGTGAGGAGACGCTCATGCCTGGGGTATATGACAAATAACCAATGATAGGCACATATAAAACTGCTCCAAGTGTATTTCTATGTTTACATGTACAGGGATGACAACAAGCTTGTTATTGAGAAGTACAATTACCCGTAAATCACAATCCAAAATGTCTTCCAATCTTTTTTTGTAACGATACCAATTTGAAACAATATTAAATTTCATCATTTTTTAGGTACTTTATCTTAGAACCATCAAGAGCAGCTGTTGTACAGAATTTATAACATGCAATACTTTCTGTGAAATTACATTTATATGACTGTATGTATGTTGATTAAAAGTCACAAATGTGAATATGGGAGGTTTGTGTCTGGTATTTTCCCGAAAAAAAGATTTTCCACCTTTTTGAGCAATTTTTTTTATGCCCCATATAGTTTTTGCCCTGTCCGTCCGTCTGTCTGTTTGTCCGCAAAAACTTTAACCTTGCCCATAACTTTTGATTTGTTGGAGCTATGACTTTCATATTTCACATGTGTATTCCTTGTGACAAGACCTTTCTTTGGGTACCATAAAATTTGACCTTTTGACCTTGACCTTGGAGTTTGACCTACTTTTTGTTAATTTTTTTTCAGACTTTCACCTTGGCCATAATTTTTGAATAGTTGAATGCTAGGGCTTTCAAACTTCACATGTGTGTACCTTGTGACAAGACCTTCCTTTGGATACCAATAATTTTGACTCTTTGACCTTGGAGTTTGACCTACTTTTGCAAAACTTTAACCTTGGTCATAACTTTTGAACGATTAGTGCTAGGGCTTTTATACTTCACATATATAATCCTTGTTGCAAGGCCTTCCTTTGGATACCATCAACTTTGACCCTTTGACCTTGACCTTGGAGTTTGTCCAACTTTTGCAAAACTTTAACCTTGGCCTTAACTTTTGAACGGTTGGTGCTAGGGCTTTTATTCTTCACATATGTAACCCTTATGACAAGATATTACTTTGGATACCATCAACTTTGACCTTTTGACCTTGGAGTTTGACCTACTTTTGCAAAACTTTAACCTTGGCCATAACTTTTGAACGGTAAGTGCTAGGGCTTTCATAATTTACATATGTAACCCTTGTGACAAGACCTTACTTTGGGTACCAACAACTTTGACCCTTTGACCTTGGAATTTGACCTACTTTTGAAAGACTTTAACCTTGGCCATTACTTTTGAACAGTTGGTGCTAGGGCTTTCATATTTCACATGTGTATTTTTTGTGAGAAGGCCTTTCCTTGGGCACCATTAATTTGGACCATTTGAACTTGACCTTGATGTTTGACTCACTTTTGAAAAACTTTAACCTTTTCCATATCTATTCAATGGTTGCTGCTAGGGTTTTTATATTTCATAGGTATATTCCTCGAAACAAGACCTTACTTTGGGTACCAACATATTTGATTTGCATTTGAGAAATTTAACCTTTGTTATGAGTTGCCATACGGGGGCATCAGTGTTTCACAAACACATCTTGTTGGTTTTTAAATTTTTTTTTATTAATATATTTTATTGCTAACGAATACTGCTTCAAAGAGAAGAAATGCTTGCTGACGTTGCTTATCAGCAGTTTCTGTGTTAACCCGATGACAAACACGTAAATATTCAAAGCAAACAAAAAAGATACTTTACTGTAAACCAATTATTCTTTGGACAACTTTAATTCGCGATTTCTTAGTTTGAAATCTCTAACTACCACTCATAATTTTCGCGACCGAGGACATTCTTTAGGAATACTGACACAGTTATAGGTAATTGGTTAGCGGTGAGAAATATTTGCGGGGTCAAAGAATGTGCATGGATAACCTTTCGGATATTTCTTGCACACAAAGAAAAATTGGTTTACAGTAAATTTTTGCTAGATATGTGGGGTTTAAATAGAGAAAAGCTTAATCCAATGTTATTTTTATTTCTATAGAATCCGATGTTGTCGATATTACTATAATCCGTGTCATTGCTAATCCTACCTCCCGGAGACGCTTTCATTGATCAAACAGATTTCCTCCCTAATATCGTCATTTAAGGAGTTATGAATGGGTCTCACGGAACCTTTAGCAACCTCTCCGTAAAACTTGATACTGTCATTACTATACTCACAGTGGATCTTGATCAACCCTGTACAAATATATAAAACATGTTTTTTATTGACTTAAAAAATACATTTTATTCATTCATTCATTCGAATTTTATTCATTCATTCCTTTCAGTAAAATTAAGGTCGCTTTATTTCATTATAAGAACACTATATGCACTCTGAATCTTTTTTTTTTTTTTTTTTTTTTTTTTTTGCTGTTCCGGATTTATAACAAAGCAGGACTCTTACGTCATTTTCTAATCTCTTTAATATTTAACCTACTAGTAATATCTAACACGATTTTAAATATTTAAGCCTTCCAATTCCAAGTGAAAACACTCTTCAGACAATGTTTTCTTTCCTCTCCTCTAAGAGGATTATTTTAAAGACAGAGTCTCCATAATTCACATTTTATTGTAAACTGAAGGTGTCTTCGGATAAATTATTCAGATGTATCGATGCACTGACAGAGGGGTCCTCATGTGTAACTAAATATGAAAATAAATGTGAGGTATGTTATAAAAACTGTAAGGTCCAAAAGATATTTATCAAATGAAAAATTTTAAAACATATCATCGGTTTATCAGCTACAAGATCTAGACTAGCTGATTAAGAGGACCGTCAACAACGGCTTTCACACTTGTAAATGCTTCACAATCTTACATTTACTTGACACACTTGAATTAAGTGAGTTTCTTATACATACGTATCCTATCTGCTGTACATAAGGAAAGTGGTATATAAAACATAAACCTGCATATTTTAACATGCAGCATATGCTTACTATCTGTTTCGGACGCCCCCAGCTCATTTTGTTGTAAATTTCAGTGCAGGAAGTTCACCTTATCAATATATGTATAACCACTGTTTATATGCATTTATAAGTACCTAAGTTTCTTCATGGCCGTAGGAACCGGGGGGGGGGGGAGGAGGAGGGGCATGGGGGGGGCGTCCCCCCCAAGAATTTTGCCGATATATAGATTACTATATTAAACATAGATACTACATGCTAGTGCCCCCTCAATAAAAACGTCTGATGACCTTTTTTTTTTTTTTTTGCTTGTCAGGAAATTTTTGGTAGTGCCCCTCAACTGTCAACTTAAAAATGTATGGCTGTGCCTCCCCCCACCCCCACCCCCCCCCCACCCCCCAGCTGAAATTCCTTCCTACAGGCCTGTTCTTAAGGCTAAAAAGCTGAATTTGTCTACATACCTCTATAAAAAGGCACAAATCCTTGCAAAACCTCTGGTAATTTCCTATAAAACAGAACCTCATTTTCTTGGTAAGGCTTGCAGACGATATAAGGGGTGACCTGCAGTACGCATGTGTGACCTCCGACCTGATGAACAAATGGGGTCACGGTCACTATCTCTAAGTCTGTCTCACCCATGTGCTCAACTTGAGGCATCTGAAAAAAGAAGAAAGATCGATCTAGTTGATTATTCTGTTTTATGGTTACTTCGGGTTTAGGCAAGATATAATCATTAAAATGCAGCTAATTTAGAAATCCATAAATTACATGCACATTTATCCATTCAAATAACAACATCCGAAAAATTTCCATTCAATTAATAGTAGAAATGTCTAAATATCGCTTTATAATATTATGCCCAATGCAGTAAGATGATCTAATAAATATGCCAGTCCTCCCCCCTTTCGATAGAGGTATTGTTCAATTAGATTGGAAAATATCACTTACATTTTACACATGCATTCCATTCATAAAATTGGCAGAGAGCAAAAAATACGAAGACCGACCTATTCATATACATTTAACACACATCTATGCATGAGTTGTCGACCCCTTTGAATAACAAATAAACTTTGGACATTTAATTTGTTTTCAGTCACTCTAATTGCAAAATAGAATTTTCAACATGATTGGTGGAGGATGAACTTTATGTGGGTGCTTGAAACTAGTTTATAATTATATGAATACTTTCGCGTCATTATGACAATAGTTATCTATAAATGTCACACTTTGAATGACTAGCGGAAATAAAATCAATGAATAAAAATTACAAATAATTACATGCATTACATATATATACCAATAGAAAATTAAATGAACAGCGAGGAGGAGAAATTCAACTTTTCTCTTAATTATTTGATTTCTATAAGAAACATTCTCCTGTCAATTTACATAGAGTGATTTTTAACTTGATGATAACAAACTTATCTCTCTCACGAATGATTTTAATCCTAATCAAATTAAACTTGTTTATCAAACAAACAGAAACGTACCTTTCCGCAGTAAACAAACTTTTTAAAGAGTGTTTATTGGAATGCCAACTTTATATATATACACGTATATGTATTTACGTTCCGGATGAACAATTTACTCAAAAATTGGGCAAGAGACCATAAAAATTAAATTATGCTTGTGATCTTTATTTACGTGTATAGAAGTTAATTGCGTCACAGGACGGTGACCACAAAATTTGTATATCCGGTTATAAAGTTATAACTTTTTAAAAAAAATTATATAAAGGATTTAATTTTTGGATCGATCCACTGATTACAAGTACAAACAAACTAACTTACAGAGTGATGACAGACCGACAACACTGATGATATGGCTGTGTGTGTTTTAGTGTATACATAAATTTAACTTAGTATCTTTACACACGCACGTACGTTTACGTATCCTCAATGTGCGGACATTGAAGGGGAATCTGTATCAGTTATAACATAACACACATGCTCTAAATTCGTCATCAAACAAGCTGACCTTGTGATAGAAAGAAAAGGAAGAAATAAATTAAAAGCACACATTTCTTAGATCCGCGCCGTATAAATTCTTCTTATGCAGAGTTTATATGAGTTGGATCTAAGAAGTATGGTTTTAATTAGACTGATCTGAAACTTAAATAAGGTCAACATCTAGATGTTCATCTTTACTTTCAAAACTCTCTTAATTTCTTGACGAGTAAAAAAAAGTCAACAATATTTATGAGGAAAAGTACATATTGTATATAAATAATTAAATTCAGTTGCACTTAAACCCCATATTATCATATTTAAAAACAGTATATTATATATAATTGCCTACTTGTATAATTGGTCCACATTTATATCAAATTTTGGAACAAAATTTAAAAAAAATCATGGGAGATAGTGCATAAATTAAAGGGCATCATAAGGTCAAACCCGTGCACCTTCTTGGGCAAATACAGTTCTAAAATTGTTTTCATAACTAGAAAAACATTTGAAACTATTTAATTGCAGAATACGTGAATAATTCTAAGAATTACAGAATGATATTTTGGCGTTATTGATGTCAAATGGAACATCTTAAATTTTCGACCTGATTTAACAATGGAATGAAAATGCAACTAAAATAATTAACAAGAATGTAATTATTAAAAAAAATCACAATAAAAAGGATACTTCAAGAAAAGAATATTCTTGTGAGAAAAATCTCGAATCTTATCATTTTTCTTCAATAGAATAAAATGTTAAAAATGTTTGCGAACTCTTGGGTCAGTGCCCCGTCAGTTCATTCAGTTTTCCCCCCGAAAGGTCGATAACACATCTTGGTCCTGGTGTGAATCTATCTAACATCAATACTGCTTAAAGTTTCCCAATTCAGCAGGTTTAGTCGGATAAACATAGTTCTGCATTATACTTCGATATATCTATAGATCTACATGACCCCCATCGTACAAACATAACTTCCTCAAAACCTTAAATTAACGGTTGGACTTCCTATAAAATGTGAACAGGTGGTAAATGCGTTATGGAAAAATAATGTTTGAAAGACTTCCTTGATTATTAAAAAAAAAGCTGTCAAAAAAATCGACATACATATTTAGCGCTCGAAAAAGGAAGATTTTTTTTTCAAACTCATATATCCCTAAGAATTTACATCCTTTTCGATATACATGTACATAAACAAATGAAAGGGTTACTTAAAACAGTTAATAATAGATAATAGACTGTTTTAAAGTCTGTGTGTGTATCCAAATTCTAGAGGATCCTAAACGAACTTTCGACAAGAGTTACTTCACTTTCGTTCAATATCGTAAACAAATTCTATTTTTAAACAACAAGCGCATATATAAACACGGTTATTTATACACTACTTACCCGTATAAGAACACATCGGTGGTTAAAAAGCGTGATACCAAAGTGTCACATGTCTCTTCCTGGAATTATGTTTTTTAATAACCTACACCGACGTGCACCGATTTTCTCGACTGTTTACTACCGGGATATTGTGATTCATCGTAGTCACGTGTTTTTTCCTTTGATCAGTTGAAAGGTCACGTGGGATGCAGTAGGCGGATCCAATCTCAGTAAAAAAAAAAAATGCCGATTCACAGTCGCAGGAGAGGCCTTTATTCCAGATTATCCCTTATGCGCGCATGTGTGTGTAGGGGAGAGTTCCAACAGGTACACTGGATCCACCTATATATGTATCAATATACGATTTGGTCTTTAGGTATTTAGATAAATGTAAAGATATCCCAAAAAAAGTCATGTGACACCCCAAAGTTTGGAGATAACGGGGATATGTTTTTTTTGTTACGTGGGAAAATTAGAGTAAATTTGTATATAGACCTTGGGTCTTTTAATATTTTCATGGTTTTGCATTGTCAAATATTAAAAAAATATAGATTATCGTTATAATATAGATTTGAGGAGAATGAAAAAATAAGCCCAAATTGAAGGGGAAATTTTGTGATAAATACATATGCGCTTTATAGCAATAATTAAATCTGCACAAGTTATTTATCTGGTTTCTTTAAATTAAATACATTTTTTTGAGTATCCATAGGCCAATAATTACAATTTTTTTTTAAATATCCGAATTCCAGATAAACCAATTTGCTGTACACACATTTGATTTAGAACACGTAGCATGCACAAACTTTACATTAGTAAAAGTTAATCTCGTTGTCAGCGCCTGTAAGAAAAAAAATAATAGAAAAATAATAAAGAGCAATTATTATTTCAGCTAACCGTAAATAGGCATATTACTAGGCGATTTTAATGTTAACATGATGTCAAACCAAAGTATAGACAATTTAAATTTTTGTTACAACGACTCAACTTAATAAATCTTATAAATGATGCTACTAACTTTACTATGAGTACTGGGACATGTATTGATTTAATTATAACTAACAATACCAGCCTGGTTGAAAATCATGACATAACAGCACCATTCTGCAGTTCTCATTGTGTTGTTAGTGTTGAACTCAAATTCTCTGTCTACAAACAGTATGCTTATAGAAGGGTGGTAAGAAACTATTAAAATGCAAATTTTAATGCATTAAACGAAGAATTATCAAAAGTTGATTGGAACAACATTATGTTTAATTCTGATAACATAAATGAAATATATTCCAACTTTGTCTCAACTCTGAATAGCTGCATCAATAAACATATCCCAACAAAAACCATTACCATCAGACCTAGAGATAAGGCATTCATGAATAATACTATACGTAAACTAATGAGGAAACGAAATAGGACTCACTACAAAGCAAAACATACAGACAATCCTCTACACTGGCAGTCATATAGAGAACTTAGAAACAGAGTAATTGATGAAATTCGAAAATCTCGTGAAAAGTATAACAAAAAAATGTCTTCAATGATTGATAAATCAATCCCTCCTGGAAAATGGTGGAGAATTGTTAAGTCGATATCAAAACTGAATAAAAATTATGAACCATTACCACCTCTAAAATCAAAAGGTAAACTTATCTTCCATCCAGTTGAGAAGGCTACAGTCCTTAATAAATATTTTGCACAAGTTTCTTCTATTAATGATGAACCAGACATTCCTCTTCATGGCCCTGGTCCACCACCACAGAATAATGACATTCTATCTGAAATACTTATCACTGAAAATGAAGTCTATGATCAATTAAGTATCACTGATAACACTAAACCACCTGGTCCTGATGGTATTTCCCCAAGAGTGTTGAAAGAAATAGCCACTACAATTAAAAACCCTCTGACTAAATTCTTTAACTTGTCATTAAGGGGGAAAAAATTGCCAGATATTTGGAAACTATCTCAGATCACACCCGTCTTCAAAAATAAAGGCAGTGCTCAAGAAGTACCGAATTATAGACCAATATCCCTTACAAGTGTCTTGTGTAAAATAATGGAAAAAATATTGTTTAAACATTTACATAATTTTATGAATGACAATAATGTAATTAAGTGTCAGCCAGGCTTTCAACCGGGGGACTCAACTGTTAATCAACTTGTAGAAATATATAACACTATAATTTCCAGTCTTGACAAAGGAAAAGATGTAAGATTTATTTTTTGTGATATCTCAAAGGCATTTGATAAAGTTTGGCATAGAGGACTTTTATCTAAACTGAAAAATTATGGTATTAGTGGTAACATATTAGGTTGGATTGAAAATTATTTGTGTGATAGACAACAAAAAGTTGTAATTGATGGTTTTTCATCAAACCATGAAACAGTAAATGCTGGTGTTCCTCAAGGTTCCGTTCTGGGACCATTTCTCTTCCTTTTGTACATAAATGATATTTGTGATGATTTAGTTAATAATATACGACTTTTTGCTGATGATACTTCCTTATATGCCATTGTGGACAATGGAGCCACAAATGTAACACAATCCCTTACTAGTGATCTTGAACTTATTGATAAATGGTAAAAAAAAATGGCTAGTTGATTTTAATCCAAACAAAACTGTTAACGTTGACTTTAGTCGTAAAACTTTGTATATCCCTCTATCAAATTTGGGGAACATGGTCCAAACAGAATTCAGAATATATCTCATACCCATTTAGGTCTACACTTTCAAACAGATGCTACGTGGACATTGAATATACAATCAATTCATGAAAAAGCTACAAAAAGACTAAATATCCTCAGAATGCTTAAGTATAAGGTTAGGCGGAAAACACTTGTTAAGATATATTTTGCATTTATTAGACCTGTTTTAGAATATTCCGATGTTGTTTGGGACAATTGCTCTGAAAAAGACTCAAAACTTTTAGAAGATATTCAAGTTGAAGCAGGTAGAATTATCACTGGGTTAAGATGTAACTCCTCTCGTTCAAAACTGTATGATGAATTAGGGTGGGATCTTTTACAAACAAGAAGGAAGGTTCATAAATTAATATTGTTTTATAAAATATAAATGGCTATTCACCTCAATATTTGCATGATTTGATAGAGCCTTATCGCCCATCAAATCATTCCTATAATCTTAGAACCAGTGATGCACAATTTAAAATTCCTCATATTAGAACTACATCATACATGGAAAGTTTCCTTCCATCAACAGTTAAACTATGGAATAACTTGCCAGATCTTATTAGAAATGCTTCTGGAATATCATCATTCAAAAGTCTTTTGAACTCTTATTTTTGTAAAAAAAGTAATGAACTATTTCATATTGGAATAAGAAAATACAATATAATACATTGTCAGTTAAGGAACAATGCAAGTAATTTAAAGGCAGACTTATATAGCCAATGTTTATCAGAAACACCAATGTGTGAACACTGTATTGATTCTGTTGAAGATGCTTATCATTACTTTTTCGCTTGTTCAAAATATACATCTTATAGAGATATACTTTTTCAAAGAATTCAAAATATTACTGACTGTAATCAGGTTTCTGAACTTAAATTATTATTATATGGTAGTCCTGATCATGGACTCAATATTAATATACAAATTTTTGAAGCAGTACATGCATATATAGCAGCAACAAAACGTTTTACTTGAACACTGTCATGTAAATGTATATATAACTTTTGTCAATTTTTCCAAACCGGTACTTCATTGTATTTTTTTCCCCCGTTTTTTTCCTCGCATTTTTTAAATGTTTGTTCAATTAATGTTATGCAGTGTATTTACCTTGACCTTGCTGTAGGGAGAGGGCTAAAATAGGCTATGCCTGCTGCCTAATCCCATTCACTTCATGTGAATAAAATTATGTATAAATAATAAAAAAAAAAATAGGCATATTTTAATACGAGGGTAAAAAAAAATCATAACACACCTATACCATACTCATGAAAAAAATTTAAAATAAACATTGATATTCAATTATGATAACTGTAAAAGAAATTGATTATGGAAAAGTTATGAAAATGTATCTCGCAGTCTGTAATATTAATCTCTACAAAACTAGCCTTTTGTGTACGTAGTGCATGGCAAAGGTGTGAGTTTCTTCATGTTGTAGAATTAAGAGGTCATTACAATATGAAAGCATGTCATCGAATATATTGCTTTAATTGTAGATAATGAGTTGATTTGATATGTCTCTCTTTATATTGAATGATAATGTAGATAGGCACATTTTTACAAATTCAAGTAATTGCCCTTTGACTGAAAATGTCCAAATTTTCACCGATAATGAGCCTACTTTCTGTTTGACATTTTTTGTTGATAACTTTCTTCTTTTTCTGTGCTTGTAGATAAAAGCTGTGTGTATTAACAACTGATTCCAGAGGGGTGAAAGGGGGGGGGGCTGCAATGAGAAATTATGATAATCTTTGTTATAGTTCCAGAAGACAAAGCTTATAACAATATAGTTTTTTCCCCTTAAGGCTCATTCGTACAACTGTATTTAGGAAGAGCTTGGTTTTAATTCTTGATTAATTAATTAATCCAACTTATTCTCACATTTCACTCTCTACAGATGAAATTTTTCAGAATCATGTTTTAGTTTTAACTATTTTTTTTTTTAAAATTCCAGTCAATGGAAGTTAGTTTAATTTACCGTACATAAACTGGATTCCAAAACTTCATAAAAATCCTAGCAAAGATAAATCACAGGGTGCAGTAAATGTTCAACCAAGCCACTATCCTCACCAATATTATCTGCATGCGGTGCAGGAGGAACTTCAGACGCACTTTGCTACAACATATTTAAAAAGTAGTGTAAATTAAATGTGGATTTCCCAAAACTCTAAAAAAAAAATATGCAAAATTAAAAATGACACTTAAAAAAATCAAAAAATATCAAAACATATGACTTTCGACACTTTATACAACTATTCCTTCTAGTAAATTAAAGAACAGACCTGACATTATAGACAACTGTTTCCTCAATAAAAATTGAACTAGTAACCATGAAAGGGTCAGACAACATAAATAGTACGAAGCATTCCTTGCAATTTATTTTGTTGTATAGGATTGGTATGATTGGAATAAACATGTACATTTATAAACGATTTCATAACACCCCCAACTGTAGTATAATTTCAAACTAAAAACATGAAACAATGAAATGAAATTGTGCAATATTTAGAGTACAATAGTTCATGTTGAAAAAGCGCAGTGTTATTTTTACATAAAAATTTGGCTCGGTAGCATGAAATATTCTCTATTTATGTCATGAACGTCGCTGATATAAATATATTTAGACACAAGTCTCGTATAGGACGATATTTTATGTAAAGGGAGGCTCCCTACTATAATGTGTCATATGAAATCAATATGGAACATACTCATCAATTTTTGTTTGTATTTACACAACATGAAACATTTTACTCATCAATTTTTGTATTTACACATATACATGATCATTAATAATTTTAACATTTTGTTACACTCTGTATGTCTGCACACTATAGGTCACTGCAACGCAGTTTTGAGGGTCATGATCACCCCCCCCCTTTTTTTTGATATGTTTTGATGATGATTTTGTGTGCAAAGTACGAACCTGGAACAATTTAAAGAAAACAGGATATGATTTTTGATTCCAATAAATTTGTTTCAAAACAACTTTTCCGTAATCTTTCAGATTATCTTATCTTAATAAGACCCTGATATAATTTGTTCCGAAGTATATTGATATTAAATAAGGTCATCGTGAATTATGACGATATAGTCGCCCGCTTGGTGAACTAGCAGAATAAAGGTCTCATTCTAGACTCGCGGAGTAAGGAGTTGATCCTAAAGACCCGGGTATGAATCCCATTACGGGACATGGAGACTGGTTTTTCGAATGATAAATTAAAATACTAGTAGCAAATGGTGTCTTAACAAAATCACTTATTGCTGAAAAAGCCATAAATGCCGAGTTGAGGTCTAAATACTGAATTCCAGTTGTGTTCCAGTTCAGAGTAATATTTTCGAAGAAATGTTACAGTAGTTTATTGGAACAGTTTTATTAGGACCGAAAAAGAAACTGCAAATGCTTCTAATTGTCCCAGATTTGTATTTTGCACCTTTCAACATTTAACTCTGTCAATGTCCACATTTTACATAGATATACTTAGCAATACATGTAATCTAGTAGAGACATTATGAATTTTGCCTTTTTTTTTATCTACTTTGTTTTCAGGAGTTCAATATGAATGCACTTCCGACACTTTTGGTCCTTGTTTCAATATTGCTTATCTGGTGTAAAATTTGCATTATATACACATAAAACTAGGATTTTACATGATTCAAAAGCTTGTAAAAAATACATTATACATGTCCCACTTTTCACAGTGTTAACATGATTAACTGTTTGAATTATTGATTATAAAATTGTCCAATAATTATAAAAGCCAACCAGAGAAGGATGAACGCCCCCAGTTATCATTATGTACATCCCCAACATGGCCATTTGCAATTGTTCTAACAAACACGTCGTCTCCCTGGTTTACATGAACAACAGCAAGATTTCCGCTCTGTGAGTTATGCCCAGTCGTAGACTGCTGGAGAAAGACGCCAACCTGATCCTTGTTGACAACAAGTTCTACGGAATGGTACTGCTCATTAATGATCCGAATATTCCAGTAAAACACGTATAATCCTGATTTTGGGGCGATGAATATGCCCGTATTTTGATGAAAACCATTGCCAGCATTTGTTTTAACAGAATCAAATACCAGAACATGGTGCGGACCGATATTGGTTGCAGGTGATGTCATATAAGCATAAAAGGCTACGGTCTCAGTGGTAATTGCTGGTATTGGTAAAGGGAGGAGAAGACGTTCTGTAAATATATAGATACATGTGTCATTGAATTAAATATAGTTCACCTGGACTGATCATGAAATTTCACTATTTGTCTGATTGAAGTATATCGTTTGACTTATATTACTGTCCAATTTACCCTATGCTATATCCTATGCTTACATCTACTTAACATGTTTAAGCAGCAATAACCCCCCAGTTGCCTTTTATTTACTTGTTAAATCCAACACCTTATGATAATTAATATTGTTGGCTTTGTTGTTACAGACTTGATATTGTATAAAGATTATTAAGTATTGTGTATTACATGATGTGTTGATATTATTGATATTATGTTTGTTAAAATTAAGTTACCTTTGCGAGCAATAGGATCGCCCTGTGACAATGTTATATGCTTACGTTGTGAAATTCGTCTGATCACTTTATCACCATGTTTATTAGAATTCATTTGTGTGTAAAATTTTGTCAAATTTTGAATGTCAAAGTCACCAATATCATGACCTCCCTTCCTCGCCCGCTTTACAAGCATGAATGTTTGTTTCTCTATTAACCTTCCATATACCCTATTCTTCTTCTTAAGGTAGATGATCAGTCCAGCCTGTCTATGAGTCGTCTCTTGAAGTTTGTCAACTGTCTCTTGCAAGGTAGACAGCAGATCTGACTGTTTCTGTGTTGTTTCCTCCAGTTGTTCTACACGGTTTTTCAGGTGAAGGAGTTCATCCTCAATATTAGCAACTCTCATATCCCCTTCACACATTTTAATAAAGACCAATAGTACCATAAAACATCCAATATAAAATGCTGCCATATCAACAATTGTATACTCTCTGAATATAAGCAGGACAATAAAATCAGTGTTCGATGTTTAAAGCCACGAAAGATAAGAGTGTCCGAGAAACTACATTGAATTGAAGGCTATGAAATGTGAAGATAACAAGCTGTGAATAATCGCAGAAATATTCTATCTAATACAAAACTGGAATAGAAAAACATCAAAAAATGGGATCAGGTACCTAGGAGGAGTAAGCATCCTAATTTGACCAGTAACACCTGCCGTGAGCCCTTTATTTTGAACAGTTCTGTATTATCCAACATCATCTGCATATAGTGCATGCGTCTCCCCCTGAATTTTCAAAACTTCAAGCATTCTTTATAATAAGTCAAAGATTGGATTTTCACATCATTATCTGTATCACCCTTCTAAAAATACCTTGGACATTGACGAATACAAAACATAAAGTTTAAAAATCTTGCCAAATAAAGAAGTAGAGCCTAAGAATCCCTTAAAAAAAAGAATCACCATTTAAAACAAATCAACGTTAACACCATAACGGTGTCAGTCCGATTATTGATTTCTGTGGTGAAGTATGGGGATATCAAAAGTCAAACAAGATCCACATGGTTTAGGACCGAGGTTCATCGGTTTAACCCCCGTATTATCTATTCAAGTCGAATGCTGATGGACAACTACAAGTGTACGGCATAAAACAAACATGACACGCCTCTGGATTAAACATTAAACATTACATTTAAACATTACATTTAAAAAACGAACAATGAAATTTAAAAAAAAATATTTATTTGAATTATCTTTAAGTCACATAGTGGTACATGTATTTAGTATCCTGAATACGTTTTTCATCTAGGTTTTGAAGTTTCAATGTATAGCTTAAAGGTGCTTAGACACAGATTTGAAGTAAATATTTTCTCAAATTTTCTGTATGATATCACGACTTATATATTGCAATAGCATTTCACACGAAAATATAATTAAAAACTTATTTTATCTGGAAATTATTGGAACTACGAATTCGTGGACGCGATTGATTAACACATCCTTGCACTTTCACAAATTTTATCTTTGTCCTTAACATTTAAGAAAAGAAGCGATTTTGTTATGTATTAATGAAAAACATTACATCTATAATCCCGAAAATTCAGAGTAGAAATGTGCGAAAGCAAACACCTTCACTAATATCGTCAGCCCGTGCTCAGTGTTGTGTACAGAGTTTAACAAATTGAATACACCCGTGAAACGTAAACTGTTTTTGTAAACAGGGCACGAGCTCTGTTATTGTTAATGTTTACGATTCACCGGGTGTGTTCAATTGTTAAACTCGGCACACACCACTGAGCACGGACTGACAATACTGTGAGTGGGTTTTGCTTTCGAACATTTCTACTCTGAATTTTCTGGATTATAGTTTTAATATTTTTCATTAATACACAACAAAATTGCCACTTTTCTTAAGTATTAAGAATAAAATTAAAATTTGTGAAAGTGCAAGGATGTGGCAATCAAACGCGTTCAGAAATTTGAAGTTTCAATAACTACGAGATGAAATAAGAATTTTATTATAATTTAGTATGAAATGCTATAGCAACAAATAAGTCATGAAATTATACAGAAAATTTGAGAAAATATTAACTTCAAATCTGTGTCCAAGCACCTTTAAAACTTAGATTTAATGGTATGGGTCTCTAACATTCTCTTAACACGAGCGTTAGGAATTAAAGTCTTGTCTGTATTGTCTGGAGGCATGTTGTTGAGTGGCAATTTGTACACCCGCTTATGGGCAACTAAATTCATAATAATTATTCTTTAATTCATGTTCAGGTTGTAAGTCTTAATGTCTAGAATTTTTCCAATCAAAAAAATCGTTTAAGGTATTTACCAAACATAGTTTAATAGATATTACAATGGGAAAAGGTTAGATAAGATTTTGAATGGAAATGGAATGGTCAGGTTCTGTCATCAAATGACATCAAACGTGCATCACGGGTTAAGTTTTCCGTGCGTTATCTATATTGGAAATCGATTGATTGATTGATTGTATGTTGTTTTACTTCCCGTTTGAGAAATTTTCACTTATATAGAGATGTCACCATATACCAGTGAAGGGCTTCAAACTTAAACCTTTACTCGGCATTTAGGGCCATTGAGTAGTGAGGGTTCTTTATCGTGCCAACGCCTACCGTGACACGGGGCCTCGATTTTTAAGGTCTCATCTGAAGGCCCCGCAACTTTCACTTCAAAGTGCCAAACGCTTGGCGAAAGAACAGTTGGTACCATTTCTTATCGACTTAGGTCAGTCGCGGTCATGATTCAACCACACGACCTTCCAATCACGGAGCAAGCGCTCTACCGACTGAGATACCGTTTATTTGAAATTGAAGAAAGAAATTTAACACGAGCTTATCTAATGTGATAATGGTTTTACCACTATCAAAAGTATATATTATAAATGGAGAGGATCTTCGAGACATGCTTCGAATGTTACATCTGACCTACATTTTCTGCAAGGCTGAACAGATAATGTTTGTGAAGCAGGTCTACTCCTAAGAATCTATAATCCATTTAACTAAATCGACTAAACCACCTACATTTTCAGAATTAGTAAAACGGAAAAGTTTTTTTCGAGCACGTGAATTTAGACCAAACCAGCATGAATGATGAATCTAGGGATGTATACTAGCAGGCAGTCTTTGGATACTGCATCTGACCTACTTTTTTCATTATGATTCATAAGGCATCTGACTTACATTTTCTTTATGATTGATATGACTAAAAGTTTTCGGAACATTCGAGTCAAGCTAACTATAAGACTTACCTTGACCATACTTGCTGCCGATGCTGCATCTTACATTAATTTCTGAAAGAGTGATCAATCAAGTTTTTGAAATAGGTTCATTATGAGGTAGCTATACCCTGATGTTGACCAAACTGAATAAATGTATCTAGAGATACACAACTAGAGATGTTTCGGAAGGTGTGCATATCAATTAAAGTCAAGTAGTTATATTTCAAGACCGACTAAACCAAACGAAATGACACATAAAATGCTCATTTTAATTTAATTCCAGATTCACAACTATTAACTACAAATCAATTAAACTCAATTTATTAATAGTACAAGCAGCATTAACATTTCGTGGCACGCGTTTGTCACAATCTATTTATACATTATATCAATGAAAGTAAACCGGCGGAAAACAGGGAATCGCTACCTGCCTACCGGGATGACCTCCCTACTAACCTGGCGCGATAGCGCCCCCACAGGGAAATTAACTGTGGTGGGAACAGACCTCTTGGTACCAACAAGAGTGACTGCCACATACAAACAAGGAATTCAAGTTCTGACTCGGGCCCTAACTCTATACTGTCTCCCCTGGTATAAAACAACTACCTGGGGATAATACCCCCAGGGGTAGACCCCCAAAGCCTGCCCTTGGTACCACAAGGATCAAGCTGGTCCCTCAGGTACCGCTGAGGTAACCCCCGAATCTTCCCCAGTACTGAGGATAGATTACCCAGAGTTTTGAGCCAGACATGGTAGAAATCCTCATTCGTGGTAATCCCCGAACTCCGCCGCCCCCGTCCCAGATTGTGACTTTTCTGACTTTACCCTAATCCCAAAAAATAAAAGAAAAATTATGCATTTGCAAACTATGATTGTAACACTTAAACTGTGTGTTACACACTGACAGTATACGTATTAAAACACAAAGTAAATATAAACATAGCTATAAAAACATCCGTCACTGAAGCACCAGAACTCGTTATTCCTTAGCAATTATTGCTAATCAATGACATTTCAGCTATTCCACAAACAGTCCCGCTGTGTACAGTGTACACCGTTACGCACAGTCCATATCATTTTTTACCGAGTCCATCGGATACAAGTTCTCCAAGTGCAACTTTCTCGAGTTTCAATTGTTAACAGACTCCATTCACTGAAATCACAGAATTACAAAAAACACAGCAAGTATATGTTCTTATAAAATGGGAAGGGTGGGTGGGTGAAATTTTTAAAGATGTCAGGCTCTTTCTCTGTTCTCCTTCTAGAATTTTCTAAATCAGTATCGCTAGGGGGCTTGATTTTATTTACTCAATGTATATAAAATTCATGGTCTCACGAATGTTTTACCGGGAACAAGGATACAAGAGTTGTCGCGCCTGCACTGGAATTAAAGGCATTTATCACAATATGGTGATAAATGCAATTAATTCCAGATTCACAACTATTAACTACAAATCAATTAAACTCAATTTATTAATAGTACAAGCAGCATTAACATTTCGTGGCACGCGTTTGTCACAATCTATTTATACATTATATCAATGAAAGTAAACCGGCGGAAAACAGGGAATCGCTACCTGCCTACCGGGATGACCTCCCTACTAACCTGGCGCGATAGCGCCCCCACAGGGAAATTAACTGTGGTGGGAACAGACCTCTTGGTACCAACAAGAGTGACTGCCACATACAAACAAGGAATTCAAGTTCTGACTCGGGCCCTAACTCTATACTGTCTCCCCTGGTATAAAACAACTACCTGGGGATAATACCCCCAGGGGTAGACCCCCAAAGCCTGCCCTTGGTACCACAAGGATCAAGCTGGTCCCTCAGGTACCGCTGAGGTAACCCCCGAATCTTCCCCAGTACTGAGGATAGATTACCCAGAGTTTTGAGCCAGACATGGTAGAAATCCTCATTCGTGGTAATCCCCGAACTCCGCCAAATGAACTTGTCTATACAAGTTCACCCGCCACTCGACTGTTGTGTGGTATATTAGCCTACCGCCTATTATAATTTCACCCACCATCCTTCCATTAAACATATTAAGGTCGATAAATGCAAATATATACATATCTATATACATAAACACATACTATAGACTTCTTTGAAATTCATGCTATCAAGCTATGTCATCTGGGAATACCTTTATGTCCATCTGATTGCCCAAGAAGGATTCCAGACCACCTTGCAGACTATTAAGAAACACTGAATTTCCTAAATCATTTAAATGTGTGCCATCATATCTAAACAGCTGTTTTTGTGCAAAAGTAATTGTTGGATGCCTGATGACCAAGCCCCCTTCTGCTTTAAGAAATTGCTTAACTTTACGGTTTATATCTTTTCGCATAGCATCAACTTTGGATGCAGATTTGGCATTGTGCCAGTATAAGCGAGGTAACATATCAGACCAAATAACAGACATGTTTGGAGCCAATAACTTGCAACGAAGGAAGGAGCATGTGATATTTTGAATTAGTTCCCCTCCAGGCAATATGCCTAGGTCATTGGAACCCAGGTGTACCACCAAATAATTTGGTGGTGGGGTAGACTTCAGTTTATTCTCGAAAAAAGAGTCAAATTCTTTCCATCTCATTCCCCTGACACCAAACCACATTATGGAGATGTTCTTATCTTGAAGTGTAAGGTTTTTTCCTCCAGGTCTATTGGTGGCACTTCGGGCTGCCCAGTATACTATGGATGATCCCACCACCCATACTATTCTCCTATAACCTACAAAACTTGAAGTTTGTTAGCAAGGGAAAAAAAAAAAAAAAAAAAAAAAAAAAAAAAACAGTATTATAAATTATGTGAATCTAATGTATGAAGAGTATGCCCCCGACTTCCATCTGCCCCATTCTTTGATTATTTGGTCAGGTATGCCCCTCATTGCTGCCTCTGTTGCTGCCCCTATGCGAAATGAATGTGACCTATAACGCCCATTCTTGATGTTGCAGAATTGTAAAGTTTTAGCTAACAGGGCAGAAAACTGGTAACGTGTTAAAGGCTTACCATCGAAATGCACCAGGAATTGATTAGCACTTGGTGAGCCTCGAGTTCGAACCCCTAAAAAATTACTTATGGTAGAAACAGGACAAGCTGGTCCTCCTGTACTAAACAAAAACAAGGTGGCCTTGTTACCTAATTGGTCTGTTTTTGATTGTCTTATAGTCAGCTTAACCTGCTTGTGTCCATTAACTTGAATGATGTCAATGTCGTTTTGTTGCAAAGGTCTTGAGTCCTTCCCTCTCAGCGATTTACAAGCCAATTCGCCTACTCTTAAAAAACCAAAAAATGCTAAACAAAAAGCAGCCTTAAAAAGGTAAACTTCATAACTAGAAGAACAGACCTTCTCCAAAGCCTGGAGAAGTGATACAAGCATTTCTAGAGTTATAGGGGCTCGTGTATCTTGTTTTGGTGTCAGCCTTGCAGCCCCTTCTAACAACTTTGAAACAATGAAAGATTTGGTAACGTCTGCAAGACCATGAATTTTGTACATATATGACAAGCCCGATATATATGTTTTAATAGATCCAGGGGATTTACCCTCCACTGACATATATGCTATATAATGAACTACATGATCTAAAGGAGCTGGCCAAGTAGTCGGAAAACCAAACAAATACCTGAAATGATTGAAACTTTGGAAAGCTGCCTTATATGTGTGCCAAGTATTCTCAGCCATAGAGGCCTTTAACAGTTTATTGGTTTCCAGTGTCAAATCTCCCAGATTTCTAGGGGCAATTGGATTGGTGCTGGGTCTGCTTGTGGAGCCAAAGCCCGAAACCGACGCCACTGGCAACGAGAAATAGAATCCGCAATTGCATTTGATTTGGTATCTATGTACTCTGCCTTAAACCTTATGTTAAAATGAAGAGTATTAAGTACAAGTTTCCTAACCAGTTTCATAACGTCCTCAGATTTAGAAGTCTGTTTGTTGACTATGTGTACAACTGCCTGATTGTCAATATGAAATAATATCTTTTTATTAGCCAACTGAGGACCCCACACTAATATGGCCGCTACTACAGGAAACAACTCGAGAAATGTCATGTCGCGCAGCCTACCTGTTTCTGACCAATGCTGAGGCCATCTACCAAAAGCCCACTTATTATGAAAAAATATTCCAAATCCCCCCGACATACCCCCAGCACTATCTGTGAATAACTGGAGAGTATCATTGGAGACCCAGAGTCTCTCAGGAAAGAGGGTCACTCCATTATAATGATTAAGGAAATCAAGCCACATAACTAAGTCTAATTTCATAGAAGATGTTTCTCTTATTTTGTGTTTTGCCTTCCTTACACCTATTGTGGCATCGATGAGTCTCCTAATAAAAGCTCTACCTGCTGTAACTACCTGACAGGCGAAATTCAATAACCCTATTATAGACTGCAAGTCTCGTAAAGTAATCTTTTTGGCCCTTAAGCTGTCTTGAATTCTAGTACGTAGCTCAGTCAATTTATCTTGTGGTAAACGCATAAGCATAGACGCAGTGTCAAATTCTATTCCTAAAAATGTCAAGCATGTTGTGGGCTCTACCGTCTTGTCATTGGCTATAGGGACCCCAAGTTCAGCACAGACCTGATGAAAGATATCGAGCGTATGTTTACAAACAGAGTCACCTGCTTTTCCTGCAAATAAAAAATCATCTAAGTAATGCATGAGGTTTTGATTGTTTGATTTTTTACATATGAGCCAATGCAAGAATTTACTAAACTGGTTAAATAAGGCACAAGAAAGCTTGGAACCAAACGGCAAACATTTGTCAAAATAGTATTTTTCATTGCACCTGATACCTAAAAGGTCGAAGTCCCCTGGGTAAATAGGCAACAAGCGGAATGCACTCTTCAGGTCAGTTTTTGCCAGGAGGGCACCCTGACCCAATTTCTGTATCATCAATACTGCTTCATCTATATTGCTATACTTCACTGTGCAAATGTCCGGGTCAATAAAATAATTAACTGAATCAAAGTCTGGGTAGGACAAGTGATGAATTAAACGGACATCCCCATCTTTCTTGGGCACGAGGCCTACTGGTGATACGCGAAGCGTGGGGAAAGGGATATCGTGAAAAGGACCAGCCATTCTACCCAAGGTGACTTCTTTAGCAAGCTTTTGCTCGACAACTTGAGGGGCGTCTCTGGCAGATTTAAGATTTTTTGCTTCCCTATAAGTTCTTGGGCCAGCATAGTGTAGGGGAAAACCAAATTTAAAACCATTTAACAGTTGAAGTTTTTCTGAATTGAAAGGATATAATTCTAATTCGTTACAAAGTTGGTTGTATTTAATGGGTGTGGCAGCAAGGTCATATAGAGTCATATCAGCATTATTTCTGACCGGATGGGCAGTTGATCTGGGGATGAGGTCCCCCACAGTTCGCACATCTGTGTCTAAACTTGCAGGGATTAAAGGAGCATGAGCCTCTATTAAAGGCAAAGCAGTTGCCGACGGACCTTGGTGACTGTGGTTTATTAATGTTATAGCTTTGTTTGAATCCGGACCCACCACACTGAGTAGTTGTTCCGAGATAAGTTGTTTGTGTCCGTGCACGAAAGGAACTACCCCCAACATTTCCTGAAAATATGTCCCTATGAGAAGTTTGTGAAGCAGATTGTTCGTACTGCCCCGGGGATATCAACATTACCCACAATTCGAAATCCGCTTCCCCCCATGATGAAGTAGGGTGCCTCTCTTTTTTTAAGCGGAATTGTTCGTCATACTTGGACCAACCCAAATGACCCTGTCTACTGGCAGCCAAACGAATACTGTGCATGTACTTAATCATTTCTTGGGCTTTCCCTGGAAACCTCTCGAGGTATATTGACATGTAAATAATAAATGCAGTTGTCCAAATGTGTATATTATTTATCGACTTCAAGTGTTGTTTTTCAACAACTAGTTGGCCATTCTTAATCACGAGCTCCCCTGTGATGTTAGGGTCAGTCCTAAGGTCATGGGCCTGTTTTAACAATAATGCCAGATCTATATAAGAACCTGCCCATATTTTTTCTCGGATGGCTACGGGCACATGACTGCCTATGGGGTCACAAATACTAATTTCAGCGGATGGGCGACTACTAGTAACTTGCACCTGTTCCCCAATCGAGAGACCCCCAATACATTGAGTTGCCGAATTAAAACCCGAGCCCGACTGATTTGTATCCAAGCTTCTCACTCCGCGAGAATTTTGATTGAAATCAATGTTTATACCTGCACCCGTGTCTTGCTGTGACGGACCCTGTCCGATCTGGTCACTGGCGCTTTCCCTTGCCAATAAAGGTGCTGCCTCATGTGCCACTGCTTGCGGCGTCTCTGGCTTGTCTGACGCTTGGGGTTTATCCGAGTGTTGTGCCTCGATTAAACGTCGGCTAGGTCTTCTTTTTCTTTTGGCCGGGTTTGCTTGACTGTCCATACGTCCTCTCTTTCTAGCTTTGGGAGGCATTATGACTTGTAATTTAACTGATGGCAGCGGATAGACTCGATGAAATTTTTAAAGATGTCAGGCTCTTTCTCTGTTCTCCTTCTAGAATTTTCTAAATCAGTATCGCTAGGGGGCTTGATTTTATTTACTCAATGTATATAAAATTCATGGTCTCACGAATGTTTTACCGGGAACAAGGATACAAGAGTTGTCGCGCCTGCACTGGAATTAAAGGCATTTATCACAATATGGTGATAAATGCAATTAAAGTCAAGAAGTTGAATTTCAAGAATAGCTGAATCAAGAGAATTGAAATATTTATTGTGCAAATGTGCATGTAAATTTTGAAAGACAAGGAGTTGAATTTCAATGTTAACTAAATCAAGAAAATTGAATTATGTAACTTGCATATAAATGAAAGTAAAACATGTGAATTTTAAGAGTGAGAATTGGAACATATTGAAGTGCATTGAAAATGTCAAATTATTTGTCAATTTAAGAAAGTAGGGAAAATATTCAATGTTCATATTAATTAAATAATTCAGTTTGCACTATTTGTAAATAATAATTCCCTACTTGTAATACTTTTGCAGATTGGTCCTCTTAGTTTGAGATATGTGTGTAAAAAGCTATTTTTGTTTTTGTTTTGTTTTGTTCTTGATTTTTTTTTTTGCTTTGGTTGATTTAGAAGTTTTTTTCCTATTTGAAATTTCTAGTCATTTTGATATATAATATTTCTGTCAAAAGATATCGAGTGTCCAAAAACTGTTTCCGGTAGGGTAGTTTTAATGATGATATTCTGTGCTCTGTAACTATTTCAATGATGGTACTCTAAAATATTTTGTAAATAAACAAATTACTTTAAATGCAAGCTAAATTGTCATTTTACGAAAATTCTCAAAACTACCTAGTACTATTTGTTTTCTGTATTTAAAGGTTTGATTTGTGATTAATTAGTATGATTCAAGTAGATATTAAAAAAATATGAATACGTGTTAAAAATACATGATGGAAAAGGTGCAAATGAAATGATATAATTTTAATTCTCAAACAAAACAAAAAACAAAAAAAAAAGATTTTAAAGTGATAATTTTCATCATTGCACATAACATCACAATATTGATATCTTATGAGGTTTTAATTCACATACATGTAACCCAAAAATGGATTAGAGATCTCAACTCATTGAAACATTATATACTACTACCATCAACTCGTACATGTAGCACTACTTTCAGTACTTTGATATCGATATATATATCGCCAACGGTAATGATTTTATTGGACATTTCTCTGACGTTATGTAAGGACCAAGAAAAATTTTCTAAAGCTATTCTTTAATATTAATTCATGTTTGTCTACTTATTACAATAATAGCCAACCAGAAAATGATGAATGTCCCCAACCATCACTGTATACATCTCCTACATGGCCATTTGCAAGGGTTCTCACAAACACATCGTCTCCCTGGTTTACGTATACAACAGCAAGATTTCCGCTTTGTGAGTTATGTCCACTAGCGGAATGTTCAAAAAAGACACCAACTTGATCCTTGTTGACAACAAGTTCTACAGAATGGTACTGCCCGTTAAAAACTCGAATATTCCAGTAGAATACATATAACCCTGATTTTGGGGCGATAAACACGCCGGTATTTTGATGAAAACCATTGCCAGCATTTGTTTTAACAACATCAAATACCAGAACATGGTGCGGACCGATATTGGTTGCAGGTGATGTCATATAAGCATAAAAGGCTACAGTCTCAACGGTAGTTGCTGGTGTTGATAAAGGCAAGAGAAGGCGTTCTGTGAATATATAGGTATCATTGAATTATATATAACTCATCAGAACTAAAAATTAATTCATATGTTTATCAATATGCAGATGAGTACTAGTACATTGATTCTATGTTACCTTTGCGAGCATTGGGATTGCCATGTGACAACTCCATATTAGTGCGATTTGATATTTGTCTAATAACTTTTTCATCCTGTTTATTAGAATTCATTTGTCTGCAACAATTTGCCAAATTTTCAACGTGAAAGTCACTACTGTCATGGCCTCCATTTATCCCCCTGTCCCCGAACTTGAATGTTTGTTTTTTCATTGCCTTTCCACATTTCCGATTTTTCTTCTGAAGGTAGGTTATCAATCCAGACTGTCGTTGAGTCGTCTTTTGAAGTTTGTCAACTGTTTCTTGTAAGGTGAGCAGCTGGTCGGACTGTTTCTTTGTAGCATCTTCAAGTTGTTCCACTCTGTTTTTCAGTCTAAAGAGTTCTTCCTCAATATTTGCACCATTCAAATGTCCATCGCCAATTTTAATAAAGACCAACAGTATCATTAAACACCCAATGTCAAATTTTGCCATATCATCAACTGTTCCCTTTCTGAATACAATGTATATGCAGAACAATAAGGTCAATGCTCGATGCTTGATACGACAAGATAAGAGTGTATGAGAAACACTTCTACAATTTATCATCTGCATTTGCCATGCTATCTATTGAATTCGATGTCGAAATCATTTGAATAGTGACTTACGTTACAGGGTAGTAATATTTTAAACTATAACATCAAAAACAAAGGTGAAACCAGCTCAAGCTGAAAAGTAATAAATAAGGAGTGACTGAGCTGCAAAGATAGGTATTTGGTGTGGGAGTACTGATGACGAAATTGTAAGGACACTGGAGCAATTCGATTGTATTGTATTTGGGTGTCGGACAATTCAAAAATTTAAGAGACGGGATTTATTTTGCGGAAGTATAAGAATAAGATAGACTAAGACATTTTTTTTTACAAGGAATAAGATACTTCAGAATATGGAGTCGAAAAGTATGGGGTATTTTTTGTGGGCGTACTTATAGCAGAATACAGGAATGAGATCCATAAAGACTTGGATAGTTGTTTTTTTCCAATATTTTCATGATTTATTTTAAACAAAGGGCAATTTTGAATATGAAATATTGAAGTGCAAGGACAATTCTAATGAAATTTGCAAAAATATTGAATACGCATTAAGAGCAAAATCGAGTCAATTTCTTTTATTGGCTCTTACATTTAACAAATTATGATAAAATCATACATGTAACTTTGCATAAGGACATCTTATACAATATTATCAATCAATATTGAAATGCGTACATTATTTCTAACGAAAACATACTTTAGGGCTAATATATACAGTTTTGCTTTTTTGCAAGTTTGACTTGGATACTTTTCATGGTGGAAATAAAGAACAGGATACAATGATAGGACCATGAAGACTGAGATGCCTTTTGTTGGGGAAAAAAGTATCAGAATACTACTGACAGAGTTGTATTGACTTGGAAAATGTTTGTTTTGGAAAGTAACATTTGAAAACATAATTATTTTTGCGTCTAAAACCGTCTTTATCTGAAGAATTTGATAACAATATTAATAACGATTAGGTTTGAACATATGAACTCGAGGGTTCTTGTTAACACAACAAACAGAAAACCTAACACGCTGGCACAGCTATTTTTATCAGAATGGAACCATGGACCCTAGTACACTGCTATAGCTGGGATGACCGTTCTTTTAAGGTCAGACGACACGTTCCTCAAATATATGTTTTTTATACCTTGGAATTATGTAAAAAAAATAATTCATAATTGTCATTATCTTGTGATTTCTAAATTGTTTTCAATATGTTTTAAAGAATAAGTACACCAAAAATTGTTTCATTGGCAATTCAAAAGATTACCTATCAGGATTATATAAAAAATATCACCCTCTGGTATCTTGCCAAACTGCCTGGTAAGGTACCTCAATTTTTGGCGAGGAAACTTTTTTAAGTAGCAATACTTCCATGACAAATTATATTTTCGAGGAACGTGTCGTCTGACCTTAACAGCTATCTTTAGCAGTACTAAGGCAGTCTCAGTTCGTAAGCTTTTATATTGGCTGAATTATTTAAAGCGCAATGTTGTAAACTAGTAAACGAAGGGCCTTGATTAAAAGTCATTTTGGCAAGATCAAGGTCATTGGCAGGTAAATTTTAAAATATGGTGCATTTCTGTTTAAGAAAAAAACATCACACGCCGCCTTTTTAAAAAAAACCGCAGTGGGGGTGGGAGTGAATCATGTGACCCCTCCACAGTTCTTCTAGTTATTAACCAATCATTGCATCACATTACATTTGCTCTATTTTAAATGTATACTATTAGTTGTTCTCTATGATAATTTTTAAGGTTAAAGTTTCTGGGACAGTTTAATGTTTTTAGTAACTACGGGGGTTGTCCTGCGGTACATTGTAAAATCGTGGACAACACGTTTTTATTGAAAAAAAATGCACACCCTTAGCTGAAATTTTCAGCAAATGTTTATTTATCATACTCATATGTTTGAGTATCTCTTAATTTTATTTAAATATAAAATATAGACAATGATAATGACTTTATTCTACTTAAATGTGAACAGGGTATGGATACTACCAAAAAAGCTGGGTTACACGAAAGAGAACATCAGTATTATTGAAATAATTTTCGATATAATAATATTACATAGATAAGGTAAGGGTAAATATTATCATATATTTAAGTCACTAGCTACAGTGTATAATATCATCATTTCTAAATTTCAAGGCATTTGCTGAATTTTCGGCTGTTTCCCGAACATCTGAAGTGGGAAAGTGGTATCACATGAAAAATGGCATTGCATTTGTCCAAATTATACCATTTTCCATGAATTGTTAGGAATTGTTTAGTTTTTTGAATTAATAAAGGTAGTTTGAGATATTTTCAGACAATTTGAAAAAAGCAATTAGGTGTTCATTCATTAACTCGGCTAAATTAATCTAACGTCGCACTTATTAATTTCTTTATTTGATTTTCTTTTTACAAAGGGTAGTGTTACAAAATAAAGGGTTTTTGGTGATACCAAAATAACTTGGTATTTTTAAGACCAAGCTTCATAGATGGTAGGTATCACTGATAAGTAACAATGATTGACACAGAGTCAAACTTTCTAAATGATGTAGGTTGGAACAAAGGTGCTGAATACTCTCTCTCTTGAAACTACTTGACTCAAAATTAAAAAAAAAATTGACAGGGTTTCATTGAATCACTGTTCAGAATTTTAGGCTGCGACATCATTGATACGAAAGCCCAAATGATGTCCCTCCCCTGAAATGTTGAAATGTTTAAAATATGTTTCACCCCATATTTTCTTTGCATATAATAATAATACGCAGTCAAATATTATCATCATGTTTTCAAATTTGCTGATTCCTTTTGACAATATATATAAATAAGTTTGACAAATATACAAAGTTTCTATTTCTAATTCCTTTAATATCTTCATCTACCAAATATGATCTCATACAAAATCAAAGGTGTTTTGCCTTGGCGCAACCTGCTAGTCCATTTAGAAGTCATTAACGTCTTCAAAGAAGATTTCCGAAGTGTCCACATGAAATAAAATATTTCTTGTACTCTTGGACACATCCTTGGTGCCGGTTCATCACCACACTCATTCAAATTTATAGATTAAAACCATTCCGGGTCCTAGGATTAAATACTGTATCTTTTACTGTTCATCTCATTTCATTCTTCATTCCATGGAGATCAGCATTTAATCTAGGGAAAGGACAAACCCGTCTTCACAAGACAGATCTACTTTTCGCTCTCGCAAGTATATACGCAAGAAAATAGACAAAGAGTTACTTAAAGTTAAAATAAAGCGGATCTTTCATTTCATATAGGCCCTAATGTAGCTACACAATTTTAACGCAAGTCAATCAGGGGTATACCCTTATAAAAAAAATAATATAGTTAATTCTTGGGCATAGGTTTAGATATTATACAGTTTACTATAGCATCAAAGTTTTAACTATTATAGTAAATCAAAAGTTTTTAGATTACTATGGATTTCACATTGTTTTACTTTATTATTTTCTCCAACTCATACATTAAAAGGAATTATTACTTCTATATTCACACATTATTTCAAAATTTTCCACTATTGTTATCAATTTTTTTGTTAAGGTATTCAATTTTCTCATATCTTTGCACGCATTGCATATCAATAAAGATATGAAATTATAGATTTGAGAAAAATGCAAAAAGGGTTTTAAAAAAAGAGTACTAGCTGCAATAATGTAGCCCTCTCCGATTTCTTTAATTTGATATTTTCAGGAGAGGGCTACAAATCCACTGCATCTCCGTAATGGTGCAAATACATTTTTTAGATACGGACGACTGCGGGCAAAATAAATTGTTTTTACAAACAACTTACTTCCAATAAAACGGAATTTTTATTCACTATCAATATCATAGCCCTTTATACGCGAAAACCAAGTAAAATAAATCTGCGTGTTTACCAATCGTTCTCTTCAGCAGCCATGACAGTTCTCGCGTGATGTACTGAGACTTGCCCTTGAATTTTAGAATCACTTGATAACGCAAATGTCGGTGTTGATAAATGATTGTGTTGTATGGTATCACTAAACTTCGATAAATAAAAGCATTCCATGTGACATTTTTTCATAAACAGTAATATTTATGCTTAAAATAAGGGAAATCCTAAAAGATCCGCTCCCCTTGATCCCGAATTCTCATTGGTTGTCCCAAAATAAAATCGATCAAGGTCAGTAAACATGGCGGATAAATTTAAGTTGTGATGTTGACATACACGAAAAATAACCGATATACGGAATATTTTGTATATTTTTGGATCAACTCATGTCTTGCATAACTACATTTTATGAGTTCAGGTAAGACATGTTAATAAAATACCCACTTACTGATAATTTGAGCCGAAATCTGTGCGGTAGTGAATCACTCCCGCACTTGCACCATTTACGGAGATCCTAAGGAGTTGTAGCCCTCCCCCCCCCCCAAAAAAAAAGTCGGAGAGGGCTACATTATTGCAGCTAAAAGAGTACCTGATGCATCTATGTTTGAGTATTACTAAATCTTGTACAATGTAAAAGGTAAAGATAACAGTGATCAATATCATAAATCCAGTAAAGATCATGGATCCTGAACAGAGCAAAAGCACAGATCTCTGGAAACAGCAAGGGTGGGATCAGGTGCCTAGGAGGAGTAAGCCTCCCCTGTCGACTAGTTACAGATTTCTTTAATTTTCTGTCTTTCCGTCCTGTTGAAAAGACGTGTCTGACTGACTTCATACATAGATAGAAAGTTTTTGAAATAAATTGGATTATCTTTATTATATGTATGTATTAGGAATACTCATTGTACCTTCAACTTTCTGTTTAATACAAGTGATTATATCCCATAGGCAATGATTATAGTAAGTAAATAAGTAATTTATTTCTTTAAAGTAACATGTGTACATGAATTATTTTGCTTTACCAAACTGTATAAAAAAGCAATCAACATCCGG